CTTTAGGTTTGTGTATGTGCATGCGCTGTACGTTTGCAAAACTCATAAGCCGGTTGACAATTTCTAGCCCAAACCAGACTCCAAGTTAAGCAAACCTTATCTTACTCGGTAGTTCTTAGTGCTCTCTCGCTTGCTCGCTCTCTCTCACATTCTATTCAATAGTAATCACATACTCTTATGCTTAGTTGTAAGGTCTTCAGCTCCGGCAGAACGGTGGGTTTTAGACCACTCGAACTGGTGTCCTGTAGAGACCATATGTTCAACCCCCCTTTCCAGGCCAACAATAGCTCCTGGTTCCTCTATTCAGCCAAGACCACTCGGTGATATAATAAATGAACCAAGGATTGGAGACCAAATCCGTCGACTTCCGTATTAGTATCATTGCCTACAACCTTTAGTGACGGGTGTAATATTTCCGCATATATAAATCCTTGCCAAATTGAACGTGTAATGTAAGTAACCCGAAGAGAGGCCATAAATGCATGCTGCCAAGGTTATTTTTTCGTTTCTCTCAGCTTTGTAGGTGCCTCTTTAGAGTGAAGTTCATCTGAGACAATTTGGCAGAGATACAGTATTTTAGACTCTAGAGCCAGCATTAAGTTAGTCTAATCAAAATTAATATGCGTGTGACAGATATGTTTACTTTACAATTCAATTGATAAAATGCAAAAGGTTGTGTATAAGGCTCGTGTATTAGTTAAGTTTTTGCGGACACATAAAGACTTAACAAGCAGATGTGTGTTCAAATAATCTGTTCTGTATGGGACGGCAGATCACCCCCAAGGGTATACAATCTTGTAAGAATAGGAACATTTCCCAATATTGGGAAAATGTTAGCTTATCTTTGTAACTTATTTCTATACTCAAATTTCTCAAGAGTTCATTTAACTTTTTGTAAAGGTAAATAGAATAGGCTATCTGTCTGTCTTACCATAAATAGCCATTTCTCCTCATTCTATTAAGCTAAGCGAAAAAGAGTTCTCAATCCGTTGAAATAAATTTTCCCCTCAACATGAAAATTAGTTTCACACTAAATGTACTGGAGTTGTTGGGCTGCATGAGGTACGGTAATTGGTTTATCAGGAATCATACATCGGCGAAACATATGTCTCAGAATGTGTATGAAAATCTGTGTGGGCAGGTGAAATAATGAGGATCATATGGCTCAAGCAAGTAGCTTATCCATTTTACTGGATCATTTGGGATTTATTACAAGTTTGGCAGAACTACTCGAACCATGACAGTGCAGCGTGTCATCTCGACACGCTAATCGCTACGCCATATCGCCTCGAGTGCCCTTGGGTCACAGGGCAAATGTAAATATCTAGGACGGTCAGGCATTTTCCATATCGCAGTCAGTGTTGGGATTGTTGATGAAGCAAAGTAATGTATACTATAGGATCGATAACAATACTTATCTTGCGAGAGTATGAGTAAATCAGTTATACGAAATGTATCCACCCTATTTCGTTTGAGCTGATAAAACATATATATAGAAAAACGTAAAATAAGTAATGCAGTCGATTGAAATAGCAAATATGATTTTGTTTCATAGTCAATCACAGCAAATAGTGTGATATGAAAACATATCTAACCTTCCTTAAATCGGTAAATCTATTTAATATCGGTAACCAGTCTTTATCACTTTAAACGAAATAGAGTGAAGATATGAAGAGCAAGATGTTATGGCGTCTGGTATGGTCGCAGTCTCTTTTCGATTAATAGAAGTGGGTTGACCTCGTTGTCGCAACTTGGTCTTGTGTTCAGGGAGACTATGTAGAACACACCGAGTCCGAAGTCGTCTGCCATAGTAGTTGTCTTGATTCCCAGAATCTGAA